CATAGTGGAACAAATCTACAAACAGTGCGGAAGGTTCTTGGTTGTAGCATTTATTTAGGTTTCTCCAGTCTCATTTATAGCAGTTGTTCAAAAGTTTTTTTCATCATATTAGAGGATTTACCTGGGAAATTTGTGTACTTTGAGTCTAAACTGTGGTATGCTGATAAATTCATTAAGACAGATAATATTACATTCTGTTAATCTATATAAAGTAAAAGCATGAAAATAAATACACACCTGCTATTTTCAAAACCTTAAAAGAAAGTATATATGAAAGACTCCCCACTTACGGTACATCTGGACTCCATCCTTTGTACTTTATAAGTCCACCTTGCCGGACACCAAGTGAGCTCAAGTCTGTCAGAATGTCAGTTAACTGCCAATTCCTCTGGCAACTTTTCTTGTAAAAGACTATTAGACCGAAATGGCTGAAGGGATTTTGGTACAGGTTTTCCGTAGGTCAAATGGATTAAATTTTATAAGAATAAAAGATGTGTCCCCCGGGGTTAATGGTCCAATAGGGAAATAGGGTCAATTTTATAAGACTACTAAAATACATTATGTTTTTAGTATAATGAAGCGTCTCAAGGACAATGGAGCTAAAGTTGGTTTAACTGAATGATTTGGCCCTCTTTGGGGCAGAAAGTAAGGGCCATATAGAGATATGAATATGGGATGTTTGTATGAAGAGTGCGGCCCTCCCCCAATCTCAGTGACGTCAGCACAGTGTGACAGGATCCTATAGAGCAAGAACAGGATTTGGTAACTCTACACAGATCATTCCTAAAGAATCTGTTGACACGTTTTAGATAAATTTTACATGGAACTTCCCTTGGCCAAGATATTTCAAGTTTGTATGATCTTCGAAGGGCAAAGGGGAGGGGAGCAGTTTGGGGCAGTATCAATAAATAATTAGAATTGCTCAGCTCAATTTGTGATGAAGGATCCCTTGGTCAAGGAGATTCAGTTTTTAACTCACCTGGCCTGAAGTGTCCATTAATGTAACTAATGCTGTGACCAGCAATCCCTAGTCCTCTACAGTTTCTCCTTTAAAAGACTACCGATCCTGGACAGCTGCAGATAGTTTTACTGATTTAATGAATTAGTATTGAGCTTTCCTAGAGAATGGAATTAAATATCTTAGAAATAGAGGGTGGACCCCCCTATGTGCAGTAGGTAGGGGCCATTATAGGGGACAAATCTTTACATTTATAACGATATATTTCGGGTATTGGATTCTTAAAAGAGACTTGCAATTGTAGATTTGGATTGTGGAGATATCAGATAACAGATGTCTACTATTGTAGTTCGGATGCAAGCTTTGTGAATGAGAAGGACTGTTGCAAATGTGATTTTTTTTCTAATCCCTTCAGAGATTTTGTTGATCGGATCATCACCTTTGGTTATAATAGTTAGCTGTAAAGTAGAGAAGCTATCCGCTTTCAATAAAACATTACCATTTAAAATCTTTTGTTTTTCCATTTAACAAATCATTGTATGCTTGTAAAATTTTACACGTTATCACTGTATATACTACAGATTCTCTATCAGAGACGTGCGCGTGTGATACTACAGATTCTCTATTAGAGACGTACGCGTGTAATACTTCAGATTCTCTATTAGAGACGTACGCGTGTGATACTACAGATTCTCTGTCAGAGACGTACCTGTGTGATACTACAGATTCTCTGTCAGAGACGTACCTGTGTGATACTACAGATTCTCTGTCAGAGACGTACCTGTGTGATACTACAGATTCTCTATCAGAGACGTACCTGTGTGATACTAGAGATTCTCTATCAGAGACGTACCTGTGTGATACTACAGATTCTCTGTCAGAGACGTACCTGTGTGATACTACAGATTCTCTGTCAGAGACGTACCTGTGTGATACTACAGATTCTCTATCAGAGACGTACGCGTGTGGTACTACAGATTCTCTATCAGAGACGTACGCGTGTAATACTACAGATTCTCTATTAGATACGTACGCGTGTGATACTACAGATTCTCTATTAGAGACGTACGCATGTAATACTACAGATTCTCTATTAGAGACGTACGCGTTTGATACTACAGATTCTCTATCAGAGACGTACGCGTGTGGTACTACAGATTCTCTATCAGAGACGTACGCGTGTAATACTACAGATTCTCTATTAGATACGTACGCGTGTGATACTACAGATTCTCTATCAGAGACGTACGCGTGTGATACTACAGATTCTCTATCAGAGACGTACCTGTGTGATACTACAGATTCTCTATCAGAGACATACGCGTGTGATACTACAGTTAGTTGGTGTTAACGTTTGGTCCGTGAAATAACGTTATCAATTTTCTGTTTCACCAGCAAGAAATGGAAATTATGTTTTAAATTTTTCGTTTCCATTTTATGGATGACTACATATGAGCCAGACTGAATTCATGACCATGAATACCTGAGTCTGGGAATTATTACTATAAATAGAATCCAATTACGGCCTGGTCAGAAACTGACCAACACAAATGGTGATGCCGTTATTTCCATCTTTTGCCCATTAGTTTTCTCCATTATAAGATTTGCAGACAAGCACTTAAATATGTGCTGAGAAAAAGCAATAGGATTTTAAATCTCACCAGGGCCAATAGTTTATACAGGGTTATTGCATATTTCATCATAAAATGTCTGCTGGTTTATATTGGAGTTGGGTCTGGCGAAGACAAACAGCCACCATTCTCTGACCTCCTCGGTCCCCATAAAGTACACAAACATTCTCCTTCTATTCTACAATTTCTAAACACCAAAAATTTCATGCTTTTGGAAAGTTAAGTGTTTGAGAAGTTGAGATTGGTACTTCAAACAATACTGTGGATGTTTGGATGAGGCTACCGAAGTTTATACCTGGCCATATGGTGCCCATTACCCCGCAGGGCTGTATCTAGGTCAGGGGTCACACAGGTCATGCCCTTTTCTCATTAAATTTAAAATCAGAAGCAACCAACCTCACCCCCTACCATGGAGAGGGATAAGTACTTCAAACGATAGACTGACCGATTTAATAACCAAAATCTATTTAAGATAAAACCTATGAAATTAAGCACATATTTACTGACTACAGTGATTCAGGTCAAGGAAATTGCCTTCTTTTTAATAAAAAACATATTAAATTAGATAAGATAATTCTACAATTTATGGGGGAATCTGTTAGTTCCAACTTTTACATTTTTTCATAACTACATTTTTCATGAGTTATGGGCGTGAGTAAACACTTAACTCAGATAAATCATTACAGACTCTGAATTAACTTTTTGGCCACGATATTGTTGGTGGAGAAATTGCTTCCATCTTTTCTTCAGTGAAGTTCTCAAAAAAGTCTGTCTACCTCATTGGAGATGACTAACGTTCAATGTGCTATTTATGTTTTTAATATCTGAAAAAACTGGTGGTTTAAACCCGTCTGGAGGTAAATGGTAATTTGATGTATAGCTTTTTTTCAGGGGTGACTAATTTTTTTTGTTATCATATTTCATGCGTACTTACAGTAATGACAATAAATCAATATCTGATGTTGATTTTAGATTTCCTGTTTTTAGGCGGACAATATGATAAATCAAAGTTTAATGTTGATTTTGGACTAACTGTTAAATTGAAAACGTAAACAAAGGAAGATGAGATTTAAGTTAATTCTTAATTGTCCCATTCCCGAAATGTTTATGTATGATTTACAAGTACAAATACAGTTGTCTTTGATAATGTCTTGAAAATTAAAAAATTGAAAAACATTTCTCGGGATAGTTTCACTGCCTGATTGTGTAATTAGGTCGTAGTTTCACTGCCTGATTGTGTAATTAGGTCGTAGTTTCACTGCCTGATTGTGTAATTAGGTCGTAGCGTCAATCTGTAACACCTTTTCTCTCTGTTAGGCCTATAGACAAACCTAATCAGTACTTACACTGTAACGTAAATATTAAATGGTGTCAGAAGTTGACATTCCCACCATAACTTTTTTCTAATTGGCATTTACAGACTTCAATTATCGTATCTGTACATTTTTTACTTGATATACAGGACAGCTTTTAAACTGTTGTCTTTTCTGTCCCTCCTGGACACCAGTATTAGGTTGTTATTAGAGATTTTATCCTTCATAAGATGTGTTCCACTTCCAAGCCGAGGTTTCACTCCTCTTCACCATAACATCATATCCCCTATGTCCTAAAACTAAACCTCTGAGCCGCGCCAAACTTTACCTTCAATCTCTTTAGAGTGGACGAAGGTAGCCAGGAGCTCCCCATGTTTAAGACGGGTGAGGTCGGTACTCGACTTGTAGAGGATTGTACTCGACTCAGCTATTTTGATAGCCAAACAACAGAGAAATACTTTAGTATATGTAAACTATGGGTAAAGTGATCCGTAATCTGGAGATAGAATCGTCCACTCTATCAATCAAGTCCAGTATCTCTTTGAATATTTTAGGAGATGATAAATGTCAGAAATTCATCTGTGCCACTTTAAGTTCAAGTAGGACGGGGGATATTCTGGGTTTTATGCACTACAATATAATCAATAGCCTGAGAGTAGCCATCCATCTAGTAAAAGACCAAAAAATCAATATCGCGTGTTTGAAATTCTGCTACTTTACTGACCCTGATAAATGAAAAGTTCTTTGTGCGTCGTGTCAGACACAAATTTATGGATGCTATATTATGGCCAGTGAATTTGTTTTGGGCCGCACTAAGTCGTGCGGTGGGTTCTGCCTTCCTTGTTACTAGGGTGTTTAAAACGCCAGTATATATGGCTTTTGGTGCTGTCAAATAACCCTTATCTAATTATTAACTTAATCAATATCTATGGAATGATAGAAAAAAATATAAGCTTACAAACGCCTTGGAAAAAAATCCCCTCAGGCTCTGATGTGACATAGTAGCATTAAGCTTGGAAAAAATAGGATTATTATTCATGTTGAACATAATACAGTGAAATAGGTAATTGACATTTCTATGTTCATCCTTTTCATTTGAATCCACAGGAACAGAATGCCCCGAGTGACGTGGAGAGTGGTCACTATAGCAACACCCACCAGCTCGCTGGTCAGCACTGTCCCAAGGAAGACAACTCTGGCGGATCGCCTGTCTACAGTGGATCACCAGAACCAGGGGAGGTGGACGATAGTATCCCCTCTGACCATGGCAGCTTGACCGATTCCGAGGGGGAGGGACCCTCCCAAGGCAATTCTAAGGAAGGGGAGGGAAGCCCGTACAAGGATATAGAAGAGCAGGAAGCTGTGATGCAAGAGGCTCAAGCTGATGTCCCAGTGGGTCAGGCTGAGGATCAGGGGGCTACCGTTAGGGAACAGGAAGGAGTTGCCCCAGCCCTCTCCCGAAATCAGATGGAGCTACTTGAGCTGGAGATGAGAGCTCGGGCCATAAAGGCCATGCTCAAAGCTCACGAAGTTCGAGAGAAACGTTTGGAGGATGGCTGAACATTTTCATTAACCATGTCACTGCAACAAGTGGGGACCATGAAACAGGTGTGTCACTCTGCCTAGTGGGGACCACGAAACAGGTGTGTCACTCTGACTTGTGGGGACCACGAAAACAGGTGTGTCACCCTGACTTGTGGGGACCACGAAAACAGGTGTGTCACCTTGACTTGTGGGGACCACAGAAACAGGTGTGTCACTCTGACTTGTGGGGACCACGAAAACAGGTGTGTCACCCGGACTTGTGGGGACAACGAAAACAGGTGTGTCACCCTGACTTGTGGGTACCACGAAAACAGGTTTGTCACTCTGACTAGTGGGGACCACAAAAACAGGTGTGTCACTCTGACTTGTGGGGACCACAAAAACAGGTGTGTCACCCTGACTTGTGGGGACCACAAAAACAGGTGTGTCACTCTGCCTTGTGGGGACCACGAAAATAGGTGTGTCACTCTGACTTGTGGGAACCACGAAAACAGGTGTCACTCTGAGTAGTGGCACCAAGACAGATGTGTCATAGACTCTATAAGTACATGTTGTACCTAAGAGTGGTGTTACTCTAAACTAGACAGGACTGGCTACCAAATGGAGAATTATGTATTAGTATTAAATGAATACATATTTCACAATTCAATATTTGAAACAGAGAAGAATTATTATTTTTTGGCCATGTTACAATTAAGACTCACAAATTATATAAACATGACCAAAAGTATTTTTTCCATGTTTATTCATTACAAATTTATTTCAAGCCTTTACCATCTGTAATAGGGGGAATACTAGGTCTTGAGAGGGTGGGCACCAATTGTCACTACGTGTAGCGGGGGGGGGGGGGGGACCTATACTAAAACGGATTAACGGAGTGACGACTGGTAACTGCCCTATCCTGACTTCCCCCTATTACAGATTACAAAAATGTCAGTTACCTATATATATGCTTTACCCACCTAATGTGTCATTGTTACACCTGAGTGTACCTAATGTATCATTGTTACACCTGAGTATACAGGTAAAGTGTACCTAGTATATCATTGTTACACCTGAATATACAGGTAAGGTGTACCTAGTGTATCATTGTTACACCTGAGTATACAGGTAAGGTGTACCTAGTATATCATTGTTACACCTGAGTATACAGGTAAGGTGTACCTAGTGTATCATTGTTACACCTGAGTATACAGTTAAGGTATACCTAGTATATCATTGTTACACCTGAGTATACAGGTAAGGTGTACCTAGTATATCATTGTTACACCTGAGTATACAGGTAAGATGTACCTAGTATATCATTGTTACACCTGAGTATACAGGTAAGACTACCTGGTGTAACATTGTCAAGCCCATGCACCCCCACCCACCCCAACACTATGGTGAGTGTCTTGTGTCAGGATGTTGTGTGATGAGGATGTGAATGTAGTTGTATGGGAAGGATGTTCATTGATAAGCTAGCTGTTTTTACCTTGTTAATTAATCATGAAGGTCGTGTCCTCTCACCAAGCCCCCAGTTGTATAGATTTAGGTCAGGTTACACGGCCTATTCAGGGAAGGAAGGGTAATTTACAATTTTTTTCAAATTTGAACATCATTGTTTTCACATTTGTAATGAAATTTATCCTGAGGACAGATAATGGGATGTCATATTTTCTCTGATATATGACAGATCGTAACCATATTCTATTTCACAATTTAGAATTGGACAAATTGGCACTTTGCCATTTTGTATTGTCGACGTAATGTTCTTTCTGGCTATTTAATTAGAAAATATATGTATTTGTCTTGATTGCTTTGACATTTGTCTTAGAAATTTTTCATGCATGAAGTAATCAAAATGAATATTTGATGAATATTTGAAGAAATACAACAATAGTTTATATGGATTTCCGGTTGAAAACACAAAGGAAATGAATCATTCCTGATTGTGGTTTATGATTAAATGACAAAGCTTAGAACAAACTTCAGACTTTGTTTGAAAATATTGAGCTTGAGTATTTTGTTGAAATTGCTGAATCATGTATGAATTATGTGAGGATACCTAAAGCAGGTCCCCAAAACAATGGTATGTCCCTAAAACATTAAAACAGTGAGTATATTATGTATATTTATGGTTACAGCACCAGACGAGTACAACAATAACAAAGATGCGTTTTAACAATTTATCGTACATTGAACCCAGATGATGATCAATAAGGATCATGGCTCAATTTTTTTAATATTTCATGCTTTAAATGAGCATATTTCTGTTAGCATCACAAAACCTTTGAACATTCTTTTGAATCCATATGAACAGAAGGTACTTTTATGATCAGGTTTTGTTCCTATTGAATGACCTCGTCATTAGTTTCTGATGTAACTTGAACTTTGTACACAGATTAACGCACTGCATACAGATATGTTGCATGATTATCTGTACTGTAAGATACATGATTGTAAAGCAGGAATTAGAAACTTGTTCAATGATTATAAATCATTTTTCTGTGAGAAAGGGGATATATTTTAGGTACAACCACTTTACCTTGACTTTACAGCTATAGTGGTGTCTCTGTTGGTGGACAGTCACAAAATATATTCAAAGAATATATTTGTAAAAAGAACAACACAATTTTAATAAATAAACAGGTACTCTATAGAACTACATGTATATTAAACCAGTAACTATATCGGGAGGCATTTGGATTCTGTCACTATGTTAAAACTTTCAACATACATAAAATTGTACCAGGTATTCAGGTACAGTATAGGTACTTACTTTAGCATACATACCAGGTATTCAGGTACAGTATAGGTACATACTACTTTAGCATGTATACCAGGTATTCAGGTACAGTATAGGTACATACTACTTTAGCATACATACCAGGTATTCGCAGGTACAGTATAGGTACTTACTTTAGCATGTATACCAGGTATTCAGGTACAGTATAGGTACTTACTTTAGCATGTATACCAGGTATTCAGGTACAGTATAGGTACTTACTTTAGCATACATACCAGGTATTCAGGTACAGTATAGGTACATACTACTTTAGCATGTATACCAGGTATTCAGGTACAGTATAGGTACTTACTTTAGCATACATACCAGGTATTCAGGTACAGTATAGGTACATACTTTAGCATACATACCAGGTATTCAGGTACAGTAAAGGTACTTCCTTAATTTAGCATAACAGTATAAGTACTTACTTTAGCAGACACTAATTTTAGCTATTATGAAATTAATACAGGACTAATTAGCACACTCACAATTTATGCAATAAAAATCTTAATACGGAAACTTTAACATGTGCAATCATATTTTTGCTCATTATTAAAAGTGCGAAAACCCACTAAAATTAGAATGTCACAAAAACATGTACATTTGCTGTAGTAGCATTGACTTCACACTAATATTGAGGGTGATAAGGATGGACCTCTATACTAAAGGGTGGATTGGTCTTCTATAGGTACGGAAGCTGATGTCAGAACTAAATCATGTTGACTACATGTACCGGCTAGTTTAATATGATTTATCACCTGCTTTCATCCTACAAAGGTGAATTATTGATGGAATTTTTAGGGTTTTCCACACATCATTTCCCAGCACCAATTTGTAAAATTGAAAAATTATTGTTTCCTTTTCTAGGGGAAAAAATAAAGGGAAATAATCAATTAATAGCACCGATACGTGAAATTTTTAACTATCGGTATGTATATTTAATTTAGATGTGAAGTTTGATAGGAGGTGTTAATTTAAAACATGTGGGCCACGGGCTGTGCCAGGTAGATAATACACAGCCTCTATTGTAAACTAGCATCTCCCTAACTCCAAAGTTAATCAAGGCATTGACACTAATCAATTATGGATTCCTTCAATTAAAAATATGAAAAGCGTCAAATCATATTAAAGATTGTTTGATAAGGGAGAGGATACAGTGTTTGTCAATATCAACTTTAAAATGAAAATTGCATTCATGGAATAAAATTCTTTCTTTTATTCTTTCATTAATTGTTAATTTTGTGAACAGTATTTGATTCGTTTATAGATAGCAATATCATTATAATGTCACGAAATTCTAGGACTACATGAGAAATGGCCCAGTACAGCACAAAAGGTCAAATGATTTGTTTATTTTGAAAAAGGAACTTTGTGCTATAAGTGTTTTGTAACACCCAAAGGAGAGGAAGCATGGTTGAATCGTTTTGAAAGTTAAACCTAGGATCTATTTGATGACATACATCAATATTGGATGAGAATTCATGGAGTGATCTCCATCAGGAGACCATACGGTGTTGTGTTTCATCCTCAGGTTGTTCATGCGAACCATTCCTTTTAACGAAATGACTGCCCTTTAATTTGTTGACATGCTAATTGTGATGGCAGGGTATTATTTTATGTAATAAACATGACAAACCACATATTTCTTTGTTGTATTTGGATATTTCTCTCTAGAGACAACGGGGCATGCCTTACAGTTGTTCTGGAGACAACAGGACATGACTTCCAGTTGATCTGGAGACAACAGGGCATGATTTCTAGTTGATCTGGAGACGACAGGGCATGATTTCCAGTTGATCTGGAGACAACAGGGCATGTCTTCCAGTTGATCTGGAGACAACAGGGCATGCCTTACAGTTGTTCTGGAGACAACAGGGCATGTCTTACAGTTGATCTGGAGACAACAGGACATGACTTCCAGTTGATCTGGAGACAACAGGGCATGCCTTACAGTTGTTCTGGAGACAACAGGACATGATTTCCAGTTGATCTGAAGACAACAGGACATGACTTCCAGTTGATCTGGAGACAACAGGACATGACTTCCAGTTGATCTGAAGACAACAGGACATGACTTCCAGTTGATCTGGAGACAACAGGGCATGATTTCTAGTTGATCTGGAGACGACAGGGCATGATTTCCAGTTGATCTGGAGACGAGATGGCATGATTTCAAGTTGATCTGGAGACGACAGGGCATGACTTCTTGTTGATCTGGAGACGAGAGGGCATGACTTCCAGTTGATCTGGAGACAACAGGGCATGTCTTACAGTTGTTCTGGAGACAACAGGGCATGTCTTACAGTTGATCTGGAGACAAAAGGGCATGTCTTACAGTTGTTATGGAGACACGGGGCATGTCTTACAGTTGTTCTGGAGACGAGAGAGCATGATTTCCAGTTGATCTGGAGACAACAGGGCATGTCTTACAGTTGTTATGGAGACAACAAGGCATGTCTTACAGTTGTTCTTTAGACGAGAGAGCATGATTTCCAGTTGATCTGAAGACAACAGGACATGACTTCAAGTTGATCTGGAGACAACAGGACATGTCTCCAGAACAACTGTACGACATGCCCTGTTGTCTCCAGAGATGTCATTATGTTTTAGTGTAGAATAAGAGTGCGGATTGTTTCCAAATGTGTTGTTCGGGAGAAAACAAGACATGTCCTCAAGTTGTTATGGAGACAACAAGGCATGTCTTACAGTTGTTTTGGAGACAACAGGGCATGTCGTACAGTTGTTCTGGAGACACCAGGACATGTCTTACAGTTGTTATAGAGACAACAGGACATGTCTCCAGAACAACTGTAGGACATGTCCTGTTGTCTCCAGGACAACTGTAAGACATGTGCTCTTGTCTCCATAACAACTGTAAGCCATGTCCTGTTGTCTCCAGAACGACTGTAAGACATGTCCTGTAGTCTCCATAACAACTGTAAGCCATGTCCTGTTGTCTCCAGATCAACTGGAAATCACGCTCTCTCGTCTCCAGAACAACTGTAACTCAAGCCCTTTTGTCTCCAGAACAACTGTTAGACATGCCCTGTTGTCTCCAAAACAACTGTAAGACATGCCTTGTTGTCTCCATAACAACTGTAAAGACAACAGGGCATGTCTTTCAGTTGTTATGGAGACAACAAGGCATGTCTTACAGTTGTTCTTTAGACGAGAGAGCATGATTTCCAGTTGATCTGGAGACAGCAGGGCATGTCTTACAGTTGCTATGGAGACAACAGGACATGCCTTAAAGTTGTTCTGGAGACAACAGGTCATGTCTTACAGTTGTTCTCGAGACAACAGGGCATGTCTTCCAGTTGATCTGGAGACAACAGGACATGCCTTAAAGTTGTTCTGGAGACAACATGGTCAGAAATGTTTGTCTCCAGCACAACTGTTAGACATGCCCTGTTGTCTCCATAACATGTGTTGTTCTGGAGAAAACCAGACATGTCTTACAGTTGTTATAGAGACAACAGGACATGTCTCCAGAACAACTGTAGGACATGTCCTGTTGTCTCCCTAACAACTGTAAGACATGCCCTTTTTTCTCCAGATCAACTGTAAGACATGCCCCGTGTCTCCATAACAACTGGAAGACATGCCCTGTTGTCTTTACAGTTGTTATGGAGACGACAGGACATGTGTTACAGTTGTTATGGAGACGACAGGACATGTGTTACAGTTGTTATGGAGACCACAGGGCTTGTCTTACAGTTGTTCTGGACACGAGAGAGCATGATTTCCAGTTGATCTGGAGACAACGGGGCATGTCTTACAGTTGTTTTGGAGACAACAGGGCATGTCGTACAGTTGTTCTGGAGACATGTCCTGTTGTCTCTATAACAACTGTAAGACATGTCCTGTAGTCTCCATAACAACTGTAAGACATGTCTGGTTTTCTCCAGAACAACACATGTTATGGAGACAACAGGGCATGCCTTACAGTTGTTCTGGAGACGAGAGGGCATGACTTCCAGTTGTTCTGGAGACAACATGGTCAGAAATGTTTGTCTCCAGAACAACTGTAACTCAAGCCCTTTTGTCTCCAGAACAACTGTTAGACATGCCCTGTTGTCTCGAGAACAACTGTAAGACATGTCCTGTTGTCTCCATAACAACTGTAAGACATGTCTTGTTTTCTCCAGAACAACACATTTGGAAACAATCTGCACTCTTATTCTACACTAAAACATAATGACATCAGGAACACAACAACAATATCGGGGATAAAACAAGATGAACCGCAAGTTTAAATGTTTTCTGAACCAAATGTGGCACCACTCCTAATGTGTCCCATCAATTCGGGAAAGTAGGTCAGCAACGCTCCAGGACACCGTCATCATCGCCGAAAAATGAAATATCAAAGTTCCTAAAACAATTACATCCTAGAATGGTGCCTCACGAATGGAGATCCTGGTTTATTGGGTAAAAGTGGCATCTTATTGGCGTATGATTGTTAAAATTATTCGAAATTAATCATGTTATTTACTGAAAGTCACCCGTACCAGTGGTTTGCATTACATACAAAAAAATACAAAAATTTCAATTAAAATGGAATTATGATATCAGAAAAAAATATCAACAAAACAATAGACATATCAATTAAAGGAAAAGTAGAAATATCAATCAACGCTAGTTAATTCAATAGATAAAAAATATTAATAATAAATATTGATAAAAACAAGAAAAAAACTATAAAAAGAATAAAGGAAATCGTCAATAAAAATACATTAAAACATTAATCAATTAAAAAGAAATCACTAGAAAACAATTAAAGACAAGGAATATAACAAAACATGAAATGTATCGATGAGAAAATGAATGATATTAATAGAACGTGAGAAACAACAATAGACCACAGGTAATATGAATAATACATAAGAAATATTAATAAAACCGAAATATTGATAAAATATGAAACATATCAATCAAACACAATTAAAAAATATGACCAATAAACCAAGAAATACACGATATCAAAGAGTAAGGCGGATAGGCAGTGGTATTTCCCTAAAGCTTTCACCTCGTGTGATTACGTGCATACAGTAATGACCTGATATACAATGTACGTTTTTATAACAGTTTCTAAAAATAGATTATTTTCCAGATTGACCTTTTCACACTCTCAAGTAACAAACGCAATGTAAGTGTTATTTAAGCTTTGTAAGTATTTTATACCATCATAGATATTAATTAGAAGCAGAGAGAACTAACAAGTATTAACTGGAGGTGACTACATACCCATATGGTAGACACCTGAGTACTAGATTTGTTTGCACAATTAATTTTGGTTATGCACTGGATAGAACAATATTGACGAGAAAAAGAAATTTAGCTCTGTGTGTTAAGCAATATGTGACGACTATTTCGTTACAGAGATTAGAAACCATCTTTAAAATAAACGGTATTCTAACTGCAAATGGACATTGTAGGATGTATTTACACAATACTTCACAAACACTAATTGGCAATGCCTTTATTATCTAACATTTTCTTTCCATGGCAGATCACGTTTTGAACTTGACTATCTAAAAGACATATTAAAGATAAAAATGTTGTCCTCGGATGAGAAAGATGGAAATCGTTTCCTAAATTTTCATGAAAGTTGTGCATTTGCTTCGACTCACAATGTAAAATATATAGCGGTCGATCTCAGCATTTCATAATTTTATTCTTCTATAATTTAACATCTTTAGGATTAGGTTATACAAAGTATTTACACTTAAATATATTTTCTCCACTTTTCTAACTTTAGACAATTACAGACTCTTAACCGCCATACATCTTTAGTACACCCGACTTGAGTGTTTCTATTGGTAATACAATCTCATCAGGGATCGATGTTAAACGCCAAGATATCGGAGTTGTGGAGTGGGAGATAAAAAGTCACATACAGATCTAAACTAGCAGAAACAGAATCAAACGGCTGAATCAATCCCCCAATCCTCCGATATATGTCTATGGAATCTAAGCATGTAGCTAGCATGCATGTAACACATTTCAATGACTGACTGCAGTGTCGTCCACAAAACTTTAGACAACATGACAGTGTTTATACGTATCAATAACATCATCCAAAAACTATTAACCCCCGAACTATTGAATGACGCGAAATATGGATTCCAAGAACAATTTACGAATGTGAATAAACAATTTACAAATCAATATATAATATAACAAAGGTGAGAAATGTTTCAGCAAACTTTCTAAATGGAAGATATCAACTTCTGTAAACTATATACAAAGTACACTGTTTACCAACGTGAACACATTAGAGAGAGAGAGAGAGAGAGAGAGAGAGAGGGAGAGGGAGAGAGA